CTCCCCAGAGCTGGGACCTGCCTGTCTCTGCCTCCCCAGAGCTGGGATCTGCCTGTCTCTGCCTCCCCAGAGCTGGGACCTGTCTGTCTCTGCATCCCCAGAGCTGGGATCTGCCTGTCTCTGCCTCCCCAGAGCTGGGACCTGCCTGTCTCTGCCTCCCCAGAGCTGGGCTACAAGCTTGTACCCCTCCACCCAGTTCCCTCTTCTTTCCTTTGTTCTCTCACAGGGTTGCTGAGGCTCGAACTCTGGTCCCCGTGTGTGCAGAGCAAGCCCTCGCTGCCTGAGCCGTCTCCACAGCCCATGAAGTAGTCACTTTGGCTCAGTGATGAAAAGGCGAGGATCCCCAGCTACCCGGAAGTCTGTAGCTTAGAGAGAACTGTCCAATGACTTCAGCAGGCTTCTACTGTTCCTGCCTGTATTCCAATTACCTTCTTCCTAATGAAACACGCTCTGTTCTGTGGAGAGTCGGTACATCTGAATGAACCCCTCCACCCCACATAGTACTACTGCATTTCTTTTCCTTTTGAGGAGCTTTGTATCTTTTCTTTCTCAAAACAGAACTGGTAATCCCATCTTGACTCTCATGCAGGTCTAAGCAGAGCCCGCTCAGCTGGTCTTGCAATGAATCGCCATGCTGGAAAGTTGAAGCCCCACAATCTGACTGTTTTATGGAGAGGCCCTGGGCTATCTTTTCTTTCCTTTTTTTTTTCCCACCTCTGGAAATACAATAGAGAAACCCTTTAGAATTCTGTTAGTTTGTTTGGATTACGCTGAAAAAAGGAAGTACCATGAATAAGAGTTAATCACACTATCGACACCAGTCAGGCTCCTGTAGCCACAGTGACTTTAAATCACTATACACTGCTTGGGAAAAAAAATGAGCCCACAGTGGACACCAAGAGATGCTGGAGTATCGTGACATTTCTCCGAATGTATTCTGACAAAAAGTGAGCAGAAAGGGGAATCTCTGTGGTTAATTACGCCACCCCTCTCTTGGTGAACTAGACTGTCCTCTGGAGCTTCTCGGGCATCGCCAGGAAGAACTTTGTTCTTTGTTGTTTCCTTTGTTAATGACTCATGGACGTGGAAGCTTAGAACACATTTCAGGAAATTACACATCTCTGGACAGCCATGTCACGCCACAGCTATGCTTACCTGGACTCACTCCCCAGGAAGAACCCACAGTCAGCTAACTAGGATCTTCCTCCCAAAGTCAAACTTGAACACAAACTCACTAGCTGTGCTGATGCTCCAAGACCAGCGCGTTGATCTGCATCCTGCACACGTGAAAGAGCCAAGGTCCAGCTCATTTTATCCAGAAAGCTCTGGCTCGGCACTGCCCCCGTGGTCCGACAGCCGTCCGTCAAGGGATTTCACCAGATGGACTCTACTGATGTTGGCTGGGTCATGTGATCATCCACTGTCCCAGACTCTCAGTCTATCTATATCTCAACAGTCACAGCTCATGCTCAAATAACATGCCTTGGGCTTCTATGTCCATCAGTAAATATCATTGCCTTTCAGGTTATTTCCTTGGTAGCCAAGATCTCGAAATATTCATGATCCTACACTCATCAACAAAAATCTGGGTCTTATCAGGATGGTGGTGGAGCACACCTTTAATCCCAGAAGTTGGGAGGCAGAGGCAGGGGGATCTCTGTGACTTCGAGGCCAGCATGGTCTACAGAGTGAGTTCTAGGACAGCCAGGGATACACAGAGAAACCCTGTCTCAAAAAGAAAAAAAAAACAACTGGGTCTTACAGCTTATGGACAGATATATTTGCATATAAATTATATATAGCTTATAGTGTAGTGTGCTGTATGTATAGATATGTGTGTATTTATGCATGTATGTATGTATAGTGTACTAATGTCATTCTGTGTATTAACAACAGATACAGCTTCACATTCTAAATTTTAAATAGCAAGATTAAATGCATGCTCTTGGGATAGAGAGATGGCTCAGAGGTTAAGAGCACTGGCTACTCTTGCAAAGGACCTAGGTTTGATTCCCAGCACCCACATGAAGCTTATAACCATTTGTAACTCCAGTTCCAGTGATCTGGTGCCCTCTCCTGGTCTCCATGGTCACTGCACACACAAGGTGCACATACATACATGCAGGCCAGACATTCAACACATAAAAATAAGTGACTCTTTAAAGACATCCTCTTTTCTTCTTCTACCTCTTCTTGGTGCTTTTTTTTGTGGGGGGGGAGGCCTGGAGAGGAGACTGCTGGTGTGGCTTTCTATTCCCCCTCAGCACCTTCCTGGGGGTCACCCGCACAGGCAAACAGCCAGGGCATGCCTGGACCTTGCCAGGATCCTGCTGTACAGAGCTCCAGCCTCTTATGCAACCTGCATATGCATGCACGCATGCTTGTTGGCCAAGGGAGGAAGTGGTCTTTGTAACAGAACCGCAACAGTGTCTGAGCAACTTCTATCTTAGAGAAAGTTCTCCCCCGGGGCTTAACTTCCTACCACTCCACACAACTTCCCGTCTGCTCCTTCTCCTCCACCTCTCACGAGGGCTGAGTGGTAAAGACAGGGACTTTGAAAACCAGATGGCAGTGTCTTCATGGTTGGGTCCCCACACACAACGATCACCCGATACTCGCCGCCTCGCACAGGTTCTTATCTCTGGAACCTCCACACAATCACAGGGTTTCTAAGCCACTCTCCCCCCGTCATGCGGCTCAGCCACCAGCCTCGGGTACTGGTGCAACTTGGAGGCCAGCGGCACCAGGCTCATAGAAAACAAAGCTATTTCTCTAGCAGCGGGAAGCGGCAGAGGTGAGACCCAGCATGGTGGTACACGCCTGGAATCCCAATCCTGGGCAGGGCACAGGCAGAAGGACCACACGTTTGAGGCTAGCCTTGGCTACACAGTGAGCCTGTGTGTCAAAAAAAGAAAGACTCCAGATTGCCCAGGACGCTTCATTCCCTGTGCATTGCCAGCATGGTGGGAACTTAACTTCTAAGAACGTGCGGGCCGGTCCACTGCGGCTTCTCACTGGAGGATTGAGGCGTCTGTAAAAACTCAGTGTCACTGTGAGAAAGTAATTATCAGGGCAGAAGGACACTGTTCACCCCCACTGCTAGAAATTGTGGTTTTCTTTCAACAATTTTGTCTCCACCCCTGATCAGAGATATACCTTTACATCTCTTGCACACATGACATTTCTGAGGGCCCCTTTGTGTTATCTCCACAGAAAATGGTGCAGAAACATTGATGCCAACCTATAGATTCTCTCTGCTCTTCTTCAAATGGGTCTGTAATGCCTTTTAAGCCACGTCTTTTAAAGCCTTACATTGATTGACACTGAGGATTAACAAAGTCAAGGTCTAAATGCTAACAAAGAAATCTCCCTCTGGGTACTTCAGTAAAGGATTTCCTTCAGCTGGCGGGAGTGTCTGCTGTGGGATGGAAATCGAGCATCGTGGAGTGCTCTGTGGGGGGGGACTCCTGAAGTAACTGTGAGTGCTCCAGACAAGGCATGCACCAATTTAGAAGCTTAGGGGCAAAGGGAGCCAGGGCTGGGAAATACCAATGGAGAAGACCCTCCCTGGGATTGCACACACCCTATACCTCACAGAAAGAGTGAATGGCATCTACGAGAGGGAAGATGCATTCATTCCTAAGGTCCATCCTATCCTCACCCCCAGAATCAGTTTAGTTCACAACAGCTGAATGGGAGCCCCCACCAAGTGGCTCACACAGGTCTGGCAGGGGCCCCTTACAGAGCCTCCTGACCTTCCCAGAGAGTCCCTGGCTTTGATCCTACTGTTGGATGGCCGTGACTTTCCCTTGGAAGAACCAAAGTCACCCCTAGGGTTGGAACTGACACCCTCTCTCAAAGTAGCCCTGCATCAAAGCAGGGAACCTACTACCCTTCTGGCCGCCAGCATGCCCGGCTGACCCCTGTTTAAATACATTCTGCATAAAGGAAGATCATGTTTGAGTAATGTCATCTCAGGGTTCTGAGCCCAACACAACCCCACAGACCTCTTTCCAAGGCCATTCAGGTGTCTGCCAACAGCTTTTCTATTCAAAACTCAAGGCAAGAGGGCAGGGGAATATATTACTCAGAGCTTCCATCTTTCTGTTCTCATTTTGTTACTCAAGGGGACCCTGTGTTATAAAACTCACTGATGTCACCTCCAGACTGCCGCCGGACAAGGCCAGGGTGGTATGAGGGAGGCGCTTTCAGAGCTGCTGTGGATCACAGCTGGCTTGCGATGAAGAGCTTCAACGCCCACAGGAAACTGGTCCCTGGGTGTTTCTGGATCACAGAGCCCCTTCCTCCCTCCCCTGGCCCACTTCCTTCCTCTAAGGCTTGTGATCTCCCGGATGAGGAAGGGCATCCAGAAGCCTTCCAAGTGAAGTCCAGCCTTCCCAGAAGCCTGCCTCCTGAGCACTCTGAAGGTTAGCAGAGGCAGATGTGCCCTGGAGGACAGTCTCATCCCTTCATGCCCATGTCCTGCTATTAGCAGCAGCAGAGTTGGAACTCACTTGGCAGTGTAGACCCGCTCAAAGGCAAGAGTCCCGGTCCTCTGGAAGCTCCTCCCGTTCTGCGTCTTGCTTTCATGCTCCACCTTGTGGGCGAAGAACGCTGCCAGAGGGAAAGATTTGGGTGAGGTTCACAATCAGGCACATTCAGGGGGCTGTTCCCTAACTGTTTTCCTAAAACACAAGCATGCTTCCTGGATTTGGTGTCCAAACAAGGCCTCCATGTCCCCCACCACCATAAATGTCACTTAGCGAGAATGTACTCAGCATCGGTTCCGACATCGATGCATTTGGTGTTGGGACGAGGCAGCGAGCGAGGCACACACAGCCTTGCCTTAGGAAACTCACAATTGAAAACTATTGACAACCGAGAAAAGCAGCAATGACTCCACAGAATGGCTCAGAAGGGTCAAACCCACTAGCTTAATTTATTGGTTGTGTCACAGGATAGCTAGAGAAAACGATACCTAAGATAAAATCTGAAGACGGGGCAGGAATTTGCCAATGGCTGCAGGGAGCAGGGGAGGCAACAGGAATCACTTGTGCTTGAGTGGAGAAGCTTATGCAAAGGCTAGAACTATGTGTGTGTGTGCCTCAGCAGGGCCAGCTCAGGACAAGAGCTGTGTGTGTGTGTGTGTGTGTGTGGTTCAGCAGGTCCAGCTAGGACAAGAACTGTGTGTGTGTGTGTGTGTGTGTGTGTGTGTGTGTGTGTGTGTGTGTGTGTGTTTCAGCAGGTCCAGCTCAGGACAATAGCTGTGTGTGTGCTTCAGCAGGTCCAGCTCAGGACTGGAGATGGACTGAGCTGGGAATCAGGACCCAGCAGAACTGCAAAGGAGGCTAAGAATGATTATTTTATAAAGGACAATTTTCCAATTATATAGATTACTCTAATTTTTTATGTATGTGGGTTCTTCCCTTACATGCATGTGTATGTACCACATGCATGCAGTGCCCATGGAGACCAGAAGAGGGCATCAGATCCCCGAACCTGGTGTTATAGATGGTTGTGAGCCACTATGTGGGTTCTGGGAGTTGAACTAGAGTCCTCTACAATAGCAGCCAGTGCTCTTAACAGCTCAGCCATCTCCAGTGAATGGTTATTTAATTTAAAGATTTATCTGTTGTCTATTACTATGAACCAGACGTTTAGCTTGAATCTGAAAACAAAATAGACTGAGGTCCTTGGCCCAATGAGCTCATGTTTTATTGACAATAGCAAAAAGGGGAGACAGGTAGCCAGTAAATAAAACCTCTAGAATACAAATGTGTGGTGTATAAAGCTAGAGACAAAGGAGATGGAGGCAGCTGGGGTGTGGCCCAGTGGAAGAGCTCTTGCCCAGCACCTGAAAGTCTCTGGGTTCTACTGAAAGTCTCTGGGTTCTACTCCAGCAAGGGGGGGGGGAGGGGAGAGAGAGAGAGAGAGAGAGAGAGAGAGAGAGAGAGAGAGAGAGAGAGAGAGAGAGACTGGAGTTGTAGTTTCGGGTCAGTCGAGGGTTTGCCAAAG